TAGGTTCATTTTTAATTATTCCATAAATAATGAACGGAGTGTATTTGTCAACAAAAAATTACGAAACGTGCAACTTTAAAAGGCACTTATTTAAATCGATTTTTTCCGCTCTTTTAAAATATGTAATCAGATATGATAAATTTAATTATACAGGGTGTTGTTTTTGAAGCTAAAAGAAATGGTCAAATTTGTTAAGCTGGATCTGGATTTTAATTATTTATCTCGAATAATTTTTGCTATATCAAAAAAAGTCAACCTGCCAAATTTGAAATTTTTATATTTAGTGGTGTTGAATTTTGGTCAAATAAAAATCCAGGGGAATTCATGTCTATAAGTAACGAGATGGACGATTTCGAACATATGTACATTTCACTCTGAAACACCCTGTATTTATTTTAAAATAACTTGTACTTGGTCGAAATTTTTTTACAATAACCATTACGAAGTATACTCGTAGTAAGTAGGAAAACAATGGTCAGTAAATGCCCCTACCCTTAGCAAAGCAAAATCACAGGAAATACGATTCACGCTCCGGTGGGCGTTCTCTAAATCTCGCTCTTTTTGTTTCGTTTCATTTGAACACCTCTTCCTCGGGTCCGATGTGAAAATGCCGGAACTTCCGGACTTTTGCATCCATTACGAAATCTTGTTTTTACGATACGGTTATTGCACTTCGTTAAATGTCTAAGGATACAATTTCAATCAATAATGAACTGTTGTTTATATAAACAATTTTCTCTTAGTAGGGTTATTTTGATGGTAGAGCATACAATAATAATTAAATTGGACGATCCAGTGTAGGAACCTGCAGTCGATCTACCGGTCAAAAGACCCAGTAGACCCTCGTTTACGCAGTGGGTCCTCGTTTAGGCAGTAGACTCTCGTTCAGTACGTGGGCCTTCGTAAATTAAATGCAAGAGGACCTTTTTTTTACTCTTCAATGAAAATCGGACAATTAAAAAATGGGTCCTTCTCCCTCTTAACCGGTAGGCCCTGGAGGTCCCAATCCGACACTGGACCGATCTAGTCATACATTTAAATCTCTTAATTCAATTTTTGAAATACCATCTTTATCTCACTTTGGTAAATTAGTGTCTAGATTTAATTATTTAAATATTTGTATCTCGAGTAGGTATTAGAATTTTATTCTAGACGGCACAATAAAATGAATATTATGTTACTATTATATTTTTACCAGAAGATGAAGGATTTAACTATCATTTAATGAATTTTTTTTTGATAAAAATATAAATGGTTCAACCCGAAAAAATCTGAGAGTGTTAAAATGACCTCACTTTACTAGACAAATTCAATAATCTATTAAATGCATTATTTTTCAAATTATGTATCAAGAGAAAAAAAATTAATTTGAAATAAAACTGCCTAAAGGTTGCAACTCGCAAAAATATTTACAAAACTGAATATTAGACTCCCGTGTGATGAAATTACAGTACGACACGATTAAGATGTCATAATTAGATGCGCACTGGGAAAAATTAGAAAAAAAAAAAGATACATTTGGCAACACAGCACAAATAAACACTGAAACAATAATATCGAACTGAGAGATAACTCCACACTAATGATTTGTAATTGCTGTGGTGGGAGGTGTTTTGTGTGAATGCGTCTTGTTTGTTTCCATTTACGCCGTGACTAGCAGTAATATTTTATTAATCTTAGAAGCAAATTTCACATACATGAACAACTAATAATAATACCGTGAGAACAAGAAGACGAAGCAACGACTTCTCGTAGGGTGGCGGTTTCGACACCACCAGAAAATTTCAATCCATACCTGGCTACGCCGATCGGCATAAACACCAACGGCCTGGACACAGCTAACCTACTCTGTCAAAAGGAGACCGATGTACAAATAAAATGCGTACGACATACGCACTACAAATTATTAGTGTTGTCCTCAATACGTGAGTGATAACTCTTCCCATTTTTCGTTTTTTCCAGTGCGCATCTAATTCGGACTTGTCATCCAATCTTGTCGTACTGTACATAGATGAAAGTTATATATATTTATATATCAAATCAAATTCATATTGAAAAATATTGAAACAGTTGTTTGTTATTATATTTAATATAGAAATTTTCGTTTGTAGAATATTTTCAGGTAGGTATATAACGGTCTTAAAAGACGAGACCACCGAAGGGTTTTAGTTTTTTAATTTTTTTTCAGATTACGGCAGGTGTCTGATAAAACTGACCGCTGAATTTGGGGTAGTACACCAAGTAAAAATAGGTCGAACGATACGTGCGTGTGGTAATAATAAAATGATCTAGAGGTCTATTCTGTAACGTTTTAGTTCAGCTTGTTCTGCTGATGACTATGAGGCTGTGTTCGAGGAGATATCATTACTAAATATTCTTTATAATATTCATCTTCTGGAAGATTTCAATGTGCCAGAGTATTTTTAAAATAAACAATTCTAGTTTCTCGCCTAGGTTACCATTAATTTACCTTTACTTCACTTTAGCATCTAGCGGTCCAAAATTTATTTTATTTTTTTTTAACAGTTCATAAAACATTACATTTCTCGAAGCGCACTGTACGTTTTATTAAAATTTACAGAAATATATTTTTCAGCGCATTTAATGAGATCTGAATATTAAAAAATCGAAGCAGTGGCATAGTGGCAATGATCTAGATTCCTAATAACGTTTTATCAGTCAAACAAAATTAAGTAAACGTGTTGTACAGAATAAGCGGCAATAAAATGAAAATACTATAATTAATTAAAGCATATGTAGGTAATTTATTACGTACAAGGTTTCATCACATGGTAATTTTGTCTACTCACATTTTTCAATTTCTGGGAATCTTTCTCCATAAAGTTTTACTTCGAAATAAAAGAAAATCGTGCGTCACAAATGCATTCGTTTTATAAAGCAAGAGAAACCGTGTCAGTGGATTTTTATACTCCAATCCAAGGCCTTAGGGTGAGATTACAGAACGTCTGCAACTTTGCAGATCTGCAAATATGGCGGCAACTTTGCAGATTTGCAAATATGACGGACACACAGATGCAAGTATCAAGTTTTCGTATTCCAAAAAATATTTGCAAATTAGCAAAATTTATTGTGGTTTATTGCGAATTCCGCCATATTTGCAAATCTGCAAAGTTGCAGACGTTCTGTAATCTCACCCTTAATCGACAACTGGTTGTAATTATTGATTGATAGGGGTATTAAACATATATATTGAAGGTTTTCAAAACTTATTCTAGCAATATATCTCAGATAGAATATGTTCATTAGCAAGAGGGTCTTGGAATATGGAGTACCACAAGAGTCAGTCTTAGGACTAACGTTGATTCATAACTTATTTTCATTAAAGCGAAGTCATCGGGTTTTGCCGATGATACAGTCATTGACAAGCTTAAAATAAGTGGTACAAGTTTAAATCTGTAACAAACTCTAGTAATAATAAATAAATATATTTAATGGGATTTGATCCAATGGAGAACGAAGTTTTTTTCTGAAATGTCTAACCTCGTTGGTAGTATACTACACGCAGTTTTTTCGATTTTTCATTTGAATCACGCTTTATTGCGTTTCGGTTATTGTAATTCAGCCACGTGTGATTTCAGTACCGTGTTTATCTGAAGTAGAGAATTTAAATTGTTCGGTATAGTTACTGAAATAATCGAAACTTCACACATAGCTCTAACTTTCATGAGAACGACAGGTGGATTTGTGAATTTAGAGTATATGAACAACAATAAAATAAGAGTAAAAATGCCTTATTGTGTATTTCTTAACAAAATTGTTTTCTCCGAATCGGCATCGCCGCAACGTTGGCAACAATATCTGGAGGTGTCGTTTGTAGTAAGGTGTTCTTAGAAGTATAATCGCTACTACATTATGTCGCTTCCGGTTTCTTAATATTATTCTTTTTGTGACTGAAGAAAAGGGCCTCAAAAATGTTTTATGTAAAGAGTTGTTTAACGGACCCAAGACTCGTAAAAATATAGGTACAATGTACTGAAAATTATTATTTAATTAGAAAATACTACTTAAATACCGCTGCTAAATGCCAATAAAAATTTATATTTCTTTCAGAAACACAAAACAATTAAAATACTATTATTAATATCGCTTTCTTATTTTAAATAACTTTCTTTTAAAGGTGTAGCTTATTAAAAAGAAAAATAATATTTTTTAAGGAACATTTATTAGTAGAATAAATATTATACAGAGTGTCACTATATTTGACCGACAACGCTCTACCCCCCCCCCCCCCCCGAGAGATTTCGTTTATTGATCAATTTTGACATAGGAATATAAACCCTTAGTTATCGAGATACAGATGTTAAAAGTTTGAAATCAAAATGTACCATAAATTAAAAACGCTATTAAATATTTTTTTCTAAATATGGTGACCCATGTGCTCTTTAAAAAAGTAATATTTTGAATTTTAAAACTTTAACCAGTGACGCGCTAAAGTCATCAATTAACGAGAGAGTTTTCAAGGATAGAACAATCGAATATAGTGACATCCTGTACATTATAGGCCAATAAATACATTACTTTCAGTTTTTAGTAAAAAATTAAAAAATTCCGTTAAACTGAAAACAATATTAGTTTGAAATTCAAAATTTGCAACTCATTAATGCTTTTTTATACTAAGAGGTTCATTAATTATTGTCTCTATTAAAGAAACAACTAAATACTTTCCAGTACTCATATTTTATATACAAAGGGGTCGACTTAAAATGAAAGTACCTCATTCATTTTCAGAATAATCCTATTTCTTTTTACATATAAAAAATGACTGTTCATTAGATAATAAATCAATAAACTTTATAAATGGAAAATTCCAAAATTTTTTTAAAAAAATATATAAAAAACAAAGTTATAACAATATTAATTTTGGACCCGCATTATTTGAGTACCTATAGAATGGATGAAGGTTTCAGGTTGAGGACGATAAAAGATAAGAAAATAGTAATGTAGACAAAAAAAATATATTTATTTCATTTCTTTTACAGGGTGATTACATATGGATCGAGCCAACAACAGGAGGGGAATTCGATGTCGCGATCGGTGCATGCGTGGTGTCGGCAGAGGGAAGGAGGATCGCGGTACGAGACGACGATGGAGAGGAGCACTGGCTGTCGCCCGAAAGGAGAATCAAGGCTATGCACGCTACTTCCATCAACGGGGTGGAGGACATGATCGGTCTGGGCGACCTCCATGAAGCAGGAATTCTCAGAAATCTTCTCATCAGATACAACGAGAATCTCATTTATGTGAGTCTTGAAGGTTTTGAAGGCCCGTAATTAAAAACAGATCCCAAGTGAGTCCTTGAACGAAAATTGAAGTTCGGTTATATGAAGTGAATTTAGATATGAGTAGTAACAAATTCTTAAATGTACTTAATAATTACAGATTTGCTACTGTCCATCTCTAAATTCCAGAACAACATTGGACTTACGTGGAACTCAAGGACTTCTTAGCCAAGTCCGACTCAGCTGAGATCGGTTTATAAATACAGACTCAAAATCAATCAATCAAAATCAATAAAAATTAAACAAAATCAATCAAAATTAATCAAAATCAATCAAAATCAATGAAAATCAATCAAAATCAATCAAAATCAATCAGAATCAATCAAAATCAATCAGAATCAATCAGAATCAATCAGAATCAATCAAAATCAATGAAAATCAATGAAAATCAATGAAAATCAATGAAAATCAATGAAAATCAATGAAAATCAATGAAAATCAATGAAAATCAATGAAAATCAATGAAAATCAATGAAAATCAATCAAAATCAATTAAAATCAATCAGAATCAATCAAAATGGGAATATTAAGAAGACGGCTCGGGTCAAGGGGTATTTTATTTTAAAAAAATCAAGAGAAACCAACTAAAATGTATTAAATATCATTCAAATCATTTAATTCTGCTTAAAACATACTAGAAAACGTGTTTAAGTAATAAAAACTCTATATTATCGCGAGACTAGGAAGAATATATTATAATACGGATAAGAATTAATAGAAAACCGTTAGATTAATAGTTTCAAGTGTTAAAACGCCAAATAAGTGCAAAGTAATTATAATTATTTTAAAAATTAGCCAATATAGCGAAAAATCGAGAAAAAACAAATTCAAAACACTTCATTCTTAATTTTTAATACTCATGTTATTTTTAATAATTGCAGACGTACACTGGATCAATTTTAGTAGCCGTTAATCCTTATCAAATCCTTCCAATCTACACTGCAGACCAAATTAAACTTTACAAGGAACGAAAAATTGGTGAACTACCTCCACATATTTTTGCCATAGGTGATAATTCGTATGGACACATGAGACGGTAAGCAAACATTGTTTGAATTAAATTTTTTGGTGTGGCATGTTGTAGAATTTTGACAAAACTTATGTTAATCAAATTCAATAAAAAAAAACTACAAATTAACCAGCTATAAGTGTTTTCTAAGAAACTGTTTGATGAAATTTGATTACAATAGATTGTTACCTCCAATTTTGACAAAAAAAACACTGCTAGGTACTAGAAAAATGCCAATAACAATGAAGATATAGACGTAGATCCTTTTGGTATTGCCATTGCGCATGATTTTTCTCTTCAGCGTTAATCTATAACACGCCGTTTGTTCTATGTAAATCGGATTAATAGCAACGAAGATATAGACTTAGGTCCTTTTGGCATTACAATTGCACATGATATTTTTCTTCAACGTTAATCTATACCACAGCTCCTAAAAATCGACGTTTCTTCCGTTTGAACTGAACAACGATGATAACTAAACTCGTTCACGTAAACGATGGCTGCCATCTAGGATCGCTTAGTCTAAGTCTCAATTCTCAACACTGACAGGTGGCACCTCTTTGTCTATCTACGATGCTGAGACTTCGTACACGTAATACTCACATCAATACCTTTTTTACCAGGTATACCCAATTTACCCTCATCTCCTCTAAGTGGTACTTTAATGTCAAATTTGACAAAAATAGTAGCAAGTACTAGAAAAAACGCTCCAACGTAATAAACACTCCAATACCTTTGTGTCAGATGACCCCAATTTACCCCTACCTCATTTCCTCCTAGTGGTACTTAACTCTTGTCAATTTTGACAAAAATAGTGCTAAGTATTAGAAAAAACGCGCTACATTGCTGTGACTTCGTAATACTCACTTCAATACCTTTTTGCTAGACTATACCAATTTATTTCAGTTTCAACAATCCAACTCGTTTTTTCTAAGTTTTCAAAATTGACAAGTGTAAAGTATCACTTGGACGATTGGAAGGGAATTTGGAGTCACCTATCAAAAAGATATTGGGTTTAGTTTTACAAATACGAAGTCTCAGCTATATACTGCATTTTTTCTGGTATCTAGCATTGTTTCCGTCAAAACTGACAAGTGTAAAGTACCCCTTGGAGGCAATGGGGTTGAAATTGGGACAAAAAGGTTATTGATAAGAGTTTTGTATCCCTTGATTTGAGTGGGGAGAGGAAATTGGTGTCACACCAGACAAAAAGGTTATTGGAGTGGATATTACGTGTACGAAATCTTAGTATTATAGCTCATTTTTTAAAGAAATTGGCACTGTCTTTGTCCAAAATTGACAAAAGTTTTGCATCCCTTGATTGGAGTGTGGGGAAAAATTGGTTTACCAGACTAAAAGGTATTGGAGTGAGTATTACGTGTACAAAGTCTCAGATATCTACAGCATTTTTTCTAGTACCTGGGGCACGGTTTTTGTCAAAATTGACAAGAGTAAAGTACCCCTTGGAGACAATGAGGTTGAAATTAGGATCATCTGGCAAAATGATTATTGGTGTGGGAATTATTGTACTGCAATATAGCTCGTTGTTTAAATAACCTGGCACTATCTTTGTCCAAAATTGACAAGAGTTTTATATCCCTCGATTGGGGTGGGGAAGGGGGGACTACTGTCACCAGACATAAAGGTATTGGGAATCTAATGTGTTTTTTCTAGTGCCTAGCAGTGTAAAGTACCCCTTGGAGGCGATGGGGGAAAATTGGCGTCACCTGGCAAAAAGGTATCGGGGCGTTACTCGTTTAGTACCTACCTGGCAGCCGTCGAATGTCAATCCGCAAATTAAACATACCTTAATCCTTTTTAAATGACTAATATATAGGTGCTCAATATAATATTCATACTAGAAAAATGTATAATTATCTGTAAATAGTAAAATTATAATCTTAAATACAATTTAAATTGCATTTAGGAGTTTATGTAAGAAAGGAAACATTAAATAATCATTTAGGTACATTTGTAGGAATTTTTAATGCTTTTATTAAGAATAATAAAATGTCGTAAAGTTATAAATATTTATTTATGCAAACAACTGTAATAAAGTAATAATAAAATTGTTAATATTACCTGTTGACAACAAAAGTGGTTTAAAATAATTTCAATATTTTTTCAATTTGTTTACGTTTCAATACCATTTTTTTCTAAAGATTTCCAGATGTCTTTTAACTTCTATAAAACAGTTTCCCGTCCTTTTTAAGTAATTCTTTTTCTAGGTGCTTTTCCAGTTTTTACTTTATTGAATGGCTTCTTCTTTACATCTAACTTTAAACTTGTTCCTCAAGGTTCAGTACTCAGACTCCTTTTGTTCATTATATATGCAAATGCTTTTTTATCTTTTGTCGGTTAAAATACATCACTAGTTTCGATACATTAAAAGTAACTTCGATTAATGCCTCTAAAAACGTTATTTTTGTTACTATAACTATGTTAAGTTTTTGTTATTTTTTTAGTTATGGACAAGATCAATGTATAGTCATCTCCGGTGAATCGGGTGCGGGAAAAACAGAAAGTACAAAATTAATTCTCCAATATCTAGCAGCCATCAGTGGAAAACACTCGTGGATAGAACAACAAATTCTAGAAGCCAATCCGATTCTAGAAGCCTTCGGTAACGCAAAAACCGTGAGAAACGACAACAGTTCCAGGTTCGGAAAATACATCGACATCCACTTCAATAGAGACGGAGTCATAGAAGGGGCCAAAATAGAACAATATTTACTGGAAAAGAGTAGAATAGTATCGCAGAATCCGGAAGAAAGAAATTATCATGTATTTTATTGCATTTTGGCTGGACTGGGGAAGGACGATAAGAAGAAATTGGAATTAGGAGATGCTAGTCAATATCGATACCTAACTGGGGTAAGAACGAGATATGACATTAAAAAGTTCTCCTTTTCTGATTGAACATAGTTAACATAAAAGAAAAAGTTTAATTTATTACAACTAGGGTATTTAATTAAGATATACCCACTGGTGCCTCTTAGGCTATAATATGAACGCACTATATTTATGCCGTATTTCACTATGCATTATACAGTAACTACACAAACTCAAAAGGTTTAATGTTTTTGTCTTATTTTTAGGTCTCTATTATCTAGGATATGTATTATCATTGGCTTCCCTAATATATCGCTGCAAATCTCTTTACCTCTTCTTTGACAGTCAATATCTTCATATCTTTGTGACAATTACAAATTTTGTAATGTTGAAACCTAACCTAAACCAACTACCTAGCTAGACTGGAATGTTACTGCTCTAGCTAGATCTGTCTTACATTCTTTCTCTTACAGATCTATAGATCTAAATCAGGTGCTTTAATGTTATGACCAGACCTAGTCGCGACTAGTATACTCGGTTTGGATTTTGCTTTGCTGGTGGAATTTTTGGGGTCTCGCGTGTGGTTACATCGTTATGATGTTCTTTACTATCCTCGCCACTAGATGCAGTGCTTAATAATTGGTTCTGGGTTTAATTATCACTAATTATTAGTATCGGGACATTTTTGAATTGAAATCACTTTCAGAAGACTGAATTTATTACTTGATTCTTTTATTTTGTATCATATAGGAACGTGGTGAGTTGTGGTCACTTATAATTAGACCAGGTTTCTACTTCTTCTGAACATGATTGTATACAGTGATGTCTATATCGAGCTTTAGAGGTATTAAATATTTACAGTGTTTGTTATATTTTTATATACATCATGTTTATTAACTATTCTGTCAAACACATGTTCACATAGCAAAGGGTACAATTAATTTGATCTAATTGGTACTCAGGTTTTACATATTTTGCATAACTGGGATGCAGAGGAGCCAATGTGTTTGAGAGGTAAATTACGATTAGATCAATCTTACATAGAGTGTCAGAATATTAATAGACAACCTAGTTACAATTTATTGGCATTTATATCAACTAAGCTTAATCATAATAATAGATAAGAAACAAAACTTTCTAACGCCTAATCGTGGACTATTAATTTAATTTCCGGTATCAGAAGACCAAATAACATCAACTTTTGATTTCAGGGAGGATGTATAACCTGCGAAGGCAGAGACGATTCTGCAGAATTCGCAGACATCAGAAGCGCGCTGAAAGTCCTCTTATTCTCCGACTCGGAAATATGGGAAGTCATGAAACTCCTGGCGGCAATTCTTCACATAGGCAACATCAAATACAAAGCCACCGTTGTGGATAATTTGGACGCCACCGAAATCCCTGATCCTACGAACGTCCACAGGGTAGCAAACCTTTTAGGTGTCCCTCCTCAACTATTAATAGACGCTCTTACTAGAAAGACTCTCTTCGCTCACGGCGAAACCGTGGTATCCACGCTATCCAGGGACCAAAGTGTCGACGTCAGAGACGCTTTCGTTAAAGGAATATACGGTCGGATGTTCATCCACATAGTCAGAAAGATCAACAAGGCCATATACAGACCCAAAGAGAGGCAGAGAAGCTCTATAGGCGTCTTGGATATATTCGGTTTCGAGAATTTCGATCATAATAGTTTCGAGCAGTTTTGTATCAATTTTGCGAACGAAAATTTGCAGCAATTTTTCGTTAGGCATATTTTTAAGTTGGAACAAGAGGAGTACAATTTGGAGGGGATCAACTGGCAACATATCGAGTTCGTTGATAATCAGGATGCCTTGGATTTGATCGCTATAAAGCAATTGAACATCATGGCGCTAATAGACGAAGAAAGTAAGTTGATTTATCTAAAAATATAACTAATAACCATGTGTGATATAATAAGTAGTACCATTATTATTGTCAATTTTTTTTTGGAATGTCATGACGGTTGATAAGTTGATGCAGTTGAAATCCCTTACCATTCCAATATATTAAACTGAACTTTTCAGTCGATCGCTGTTGCTAGTTAAAATATTAAAGGGGTTGAAATCTGGCATGATATTTTTATTATAAAAATGTTCCCCATCAAAATTTAAAATCGAATATTTTACCGTACAGGAGTCACTTTTAATGTTCGAATTCTACATTATAATCCTTAAATCAAAAAAAAGATGTTCATCCACCATAAATAAGAAAAATATAGAGTTAATTTACTGTGTTAATGACAATTTGATGATATTCATGCAATCTATTACTCAGATTTTTGGCAATTAAATGTTGTCGATGGATAACCCCGGGTACATTTTAAGTGGCTTACAAATTCACGGTAGCGCCCAACCATGGCAGGTGCCCCTCTATACGTCGCGTGGGCAACTTTTTGTCTCAAATAGTATCACTTTTAATAATATTTGCACATATTTCAATAACATTTCTCTTCATAGGTAAATTTCCCAAAGGCACTGACCAAACTTTCCTCGCCAAACTCCACAAACAACACGGACGGCACAGAAATTACCTCAAGCCCAGGTCGGATATCAACACGAGTTTCGGTCTCAACCACTTCGCTGGAGTCGTATTTTACGACACCAGAGGCTTTTTGGAGAAAAACCGAGACACTTTCAGTCCAGATTTACTCCAACTGATCACGATCAGCGGCAACAAATTCCTGCAGCAAATCTTCGCTGAGGATATCGGAATGGGATCCGAAACTAGGAAGAGAACTCCGACTTTGTCGACGCAGTTCAAGAAAAGTTTGGATTCGTTGATGAGGACGCTGTCCAACTGCCAACCGTTCTTCATTCGTTGCATCAAACCGAACGAGTTAAAGAAGCCGATGATGTTCGATAGGACATTATGTTGCAGACAGCTGAGGTATTCCGGTATGATGGAAACTATAAGAATTAGAAGAGCCGGATATCCAATCAGGCACAGTTTTCCCGAGTTCGTGGAACGATACAGGTAATGGAGCATTAAAAGGATAAACTATATTAACTAATTCGGGTATTTAATTTTAGATTCCTTATTTCTGGTATTCCTCCAGCCCACAAGACTGAGTGCAGAAGCGCCACTGCAAGAATTTGCTCCATAGTTTTAGGACGATCTGATTATCAACTCGGCCATAATAAAGTGTTCCTTAAAGACGCCCATGATCTATTTCTAGAACAGGAAAGAGACAGAGTTCTTACCCAGAAGATTCTTATTTTACAACGGTACGTTGGGTTTTCCCATTTTTTCCAACAGTTTCTTTCCTTGATTGAGAATTTCTCACAGGTTCTTATTTATTTAAAGTTTACACTATGCATAAGCACAATAGGTGTTCTGTAGTTCCTGTTGCATTAGAATATACAGCTCTCATTACTTTTTTGAGATATTTTCGTTATAGTTCGACCAGTAAACGATTTAAATGTTATTAACATTGCAATTTCAGGTCTATTCGAGGTTGGGTATACAGAAGACGATTCTTACGACTTAGAGCCGCCACAATAATAATTCAAAAATACTGGAAGGCCTACGCTCAGAGACAGCGCTATAGAAAGATGCGCTTAGGCTACATGCGACTCCAAGCTCTTATACGCGCCAGAGTTTTGTCGCACAGGTTTAGACATCTACGGGGACACGTGGTGGGACTTCAAGCACACGCTAGAGGGTATCTAGTGAGAAGGGAGTACGGTTACAAAATGTGGGCTATAATAAAGATACAATCACACGTAAGAAGAATGATAGCTCAAAGGAGGTACAAGAAAATTAAATTCGAACAAAAGAGGCAAGTAGAAGCTTTAAGACTGAGAAAGAAGGAAGAGAGAGAATTGAAGGATGCTGGAAATAAGCGCGCCAAAGAAATTGCAGAACAACATTACCGAGAACGAATATATCACATGGAAAAGAAAGAAATGGAAATTGAAATGGAGGAAAGAAAGTTGGTAGAAGAAAAGAAAAATAAAATTAATGAAGCGGCTAGGAAGGCAGACGAACCGGTCGACGACTCCAAATTGGTAGAAGCCATGTTTGATTTTCTGCCGGATAGTTCGAGTGAAGCACCTACTCCAGGTCGGGAGACGTCTGTATTCAATGATTTACCATCCAGACCAGCCGAAAATGAAATAATCAGTCCATTGGCGGCAGCTTCTGAAGACGAAGAAGACCTAAGCGAATTTAAATTCCAAAAATTCGCTGCTACGTACTTCCAAGGCAACGTTGGACACCAATATTCTAGGAAACCATTAAAACATCCATTGCTACCATTACACACGCAAGGTGATCAATTGGTAAGTCTCATCTCATCCCATCAGTCTTCTAGTAAGTAAATATTGTTGGGATTTTAGGCTGCTCAAGCTCTATGGGTAACCATCCTTCGTTTCACCGGAGATCTTCCAGAACCTCGTTACCACACAATGGACAGAGACACCACTTCAGTTATGTCAAAAGTGACAGCTACGCTAGGTCGTAACTTTATTCGCAGTAAGGAATTCCAAGAGGCTCAACTCATGGGTCTGGATCCAGATTCGTTTTTAAAACAGAAACCGAGGTCTATAAGGAACAAATTGGTGTCGTTAACATTAAAACGGAAGAATAAATTGGGCGAAGACGTTAGAAGGAAATTGCAAGATGAAGAATACACGGCGGACAGTTATCAGTCGTGGTTAGAAACAAGGCCTACTAGTAATTTGGAAAAATTACACTTTATTATCGGTCATGGTATTCTGAGAGCTGAACTGAGGTAAGGGAAAAGCTGTGCAGTATCAAAATATCTATTATTAAATTACATTTAACTTAATTATTTGTTCCAGGGACGAAATATATTGTCAAATTTGCAAACAGCTTACCAATAATCCTTCAAAATCATCACACGCTAGAGGTTGGATCCTTCTTTCTTTGTGCGTTGGCTGTTTTGCACCATCTGAGAAATTTGTTAGTTATCTGAGAGCTTTTATTAGAGAAGGTAATAAATGATATAAAATCGTTTGAAATATCTTAAATATTATTGTCTTAAGGTCCTCCCGGATACGCACCATATTGCGAAGATCGTCTAAAAAGGACTTTCAACAATGGTACCCGAAACCAACCTCCAAGTTGGCTAGAACTGCAAGCCACCAAATCTAAAAAACCAATAATGCTACCGATCACGTTTATGGATGGCAACACGAAAACCTTGCTGGCCGATTCTGCCACAACCGCCAGAGAATTATGCAATCAACTATCGGACAAGATCAGCCTGAAGGACCAATTCGGATTTTCCCTCTATATTGCGTTGTTTGATAAGGTTTCTTCGTTGGGAAGCGGAGGGGATCACGTCATGGATGCTATTTCACAGGTAAAGATGCATAATTTTGTTTAAATTATTGCTACTAAACACAAAAACAAACAAAACAAGAATATTATGTAACAACTTTCGATCTTTTGGCTAGTGATAATAGTAAATTTTGATATTTGACATATGACAAGTTTGACACATGCCAAAAATTTAGACAGAAACGAATTTAATTAAAACTGGTTGTTTATTTTCCAGTGCGAACAATATGCAAAAGAACAAGGCGCTCAAGAACGTAACGCCCCTTGGAGGCTCTTCTTCCGCAAAGAAATCTTCGCTCCTTGGCACGAGCCTACCGAAGATCAAGTAGCCACGAACCTGATCTACCAGCAAGTGGTACGCGGTGTTAAATTCGGAGAGTACAGGTGCGATAAAGAGGAAGATTTGGCCATGATAGCAGCGCAACAGTATTTCATCGAGTACAGTAGTGACATGAATGTGGAGAGGTTGCTGACGCTGTTGCCGAATTATATTCCGGATTATTGTTTGACAGGCGTGGAGAAGGCCGTTGACAGGTGGGCCGCGTTGGTGGTGCAAGCCTATAAGAAGAGTTATTATGTTAAAGAGAAGGTAAGAGTAAAATTATCTCATTTACTCCAGTTATCTTTGATTTTCAATAGATTTAGTCTATGAATAATGTAGGTGTAGCTTTCGATAGCCTTTTTTCGAAAAATATCTATACACATAGTAGAGTATTTAAACCAAGACTGAAACTGTCCATCATTTATAACCCTAGAACTTTTGTAATAGTACTATCTTTCAATTCATATTCAATTTTTATGTAGATTTGTTCTTCAATAATCATTGTTATAAAGTAAGATTAATAAAAGTTAGGCCCTTGAAGAACTTCAAAATATTAGTCTCAAGGAAGAATAAGCACAGGCAATAATTGTAAATTAGAGCGCTAAACTGGTGGTTCTCGTCTTATAGGGACTGAGGTCACATAGTTAAACTCGTAGTACAGAAAAACAAGTGGGAACTATTTGATTTTGAAGTTCAAACAATTATTGTAAAAAATATTTGGTCAATGGGAGCGTTTTTTATGAAGTTATCGTGTCGACGCATAAACGTACTTACATACGCACGCACAGAGACCCCATATTTGATATCACCCTGATCAAGGATGAATCATATTTATTTGCATAAGAGCTAATAAATCATGAATATTTTTCTTTATCACCCTGATCAAGGATGAATCATATTTATTTGCATAAGAGCTAATAAATCATGAATATTTTTCTTATCTTCATAAATAATCGGTATAAAATGAAACGAAGTTAATTTAAACACACATATACCAACTTTTTTTACTGCAATCAGCAAATATACATTTTTTTGTGGTAAGTACATGAACTGAAGATAATACAGCTCATTTTTTTGTTTTAATACATACTTTGAATATATGACTGGAAAATGTGTGATGTCGTGCTCGATGTGATGTGTATCCGATGTGAAGCACAAAACACAAATGCCTGTAAAATTGGAGAAGCGGTTGAACTTATCAACTTTTTGTATAGCGTCAATAGCTTCACCTGGATTAGCTTCAAAGCCACTGGTTAACTAGTGACTGTTTAGGCCCGAGGCGGTAGTTTGTTAAGAGAATTTGCTATATATGGAGCTCAGCTTCGACAAGTAACTCTTTTGTTAAATTCTGATATGTGACAGGGCCGGCTTATGTCGTCAGTGTTTAAATTCCGATATATGTACATAATATATTTTATTATTTATCAAGTCAAATAATTATTTAGTTACCAAACGATCACCGATAGAACACAATGCATGAGAATTAACCAAAAACCATTAGACACTCAAGGCGACTCACTTCGTTCTGCCTGGGGAGGTACTTTGCTACCGCAAACGTTTCCCCTCACCCTCCGCTCTTTTATACATTATATTACAATGAGTAATCACACAAAAATTTGTTTACCTGCTAACATACACATTTAAACAACAGTATTATACAATTTCTTGAAGCTCCTCTGTCGATTGATATAAACGCGTAGAAAACATTTTTTAAAGAAGAACTATATTTCGAATTATTTAACTTTCAGGTACCATGCCTAAGAGTCAAAGAAGACGTTGTCAGCTACGCAAAATTCAAATGGCCTTTACTCTTCTCAAGATTTTACGAAGCCTATCGCAATTCTGGACCAAATCTGCCAAAGAACGATGTCATCATCGCTGTCAACTGGACTGGAGTGTACGTGGTAGACGATCAAGAACAGGTATTGCTAGAGCTGTCGTTCCCCGAAATAACTACAGTGGCCAGTCAAAAAACGAATAAAGTTTTTACGCAAACGTTCAGTTTGAATACCGTGAGAGGGGAGGAATTTACTTTCCAGAGCCCGAATGCTGAGGATATTCGGGATTTGGTGGTTTATTTCTTAGAAGGTAATTTTTGTGTAAAAAAATCTACAATGCCGATTACAAAAATCATATTTTTTTAGGACTTAAAAAAAGGTCGAAGTTTGTGATCGCTTTACAAGACTACAAAGCGCCAGGTGAGGGTTCCAGTTTCTTGACATTCTTGAAGGGAGATTTGATCATTTTGGAGGAGGACAGTACCGGCGAAACGGTACTAAACTCGGGTTGGTGCGTTGGAAGGTGTGAAAGGACGCAAGAGAAGGGAGACTTTCCTGCGGAAACGGTTTACGTACTGCCCTGTATGTCAAAACCTCCTGCCGAAATATTGCTGTTGTTCTCTGTCGAAGGTAAGCCGAATTCCATATATTTTAGATTTTTAATTATATGTATCCTATTCTGTAACGAGATATATAACCAAGACAGATAGGATTGTTTACAAAATTTATGAAGCCGGCACGGGTTCGCTATCTAAGCGTCTTTGGCAGAAATGCAATATAACAGCCAAGTTTACAAATTTCTTAACAGTAGCCAAAAATTTTAGGTAAAAAATTGTGTGCTATTTTACCAATTTTTAACATAATCCGTCAATTGGTTTGTCAGATACAGTTACATTGTTATTAGAAATGGACAAAAGTAGCTAAGAAACTATATGATTTAAAAATGACCGAGTTATTTCTGGAAAACTAGAAGATCGCGAGTTAGAGATTACAGGGAAGAAGCAGAGTCTTACAGAGCGGTTTAAAAAAGCACCAGAAAGTGAGGGTTTGAATCCGGAAACGTTTCTATTTTCGGATGATGCATCTTCTGTTGTAATTTCTTCAATTTCTTTCGATATGGAAAAGTAAGATTTCTTCTTTAAAAACCGGAATGTCCTCCGATACGATGTCTATGAAAACCGATATTACTGCTGTTTCTTCTATAAAAAATTATATTTCTTCCTTAGAAGAAAATGAGTCTTCTGATATTACTTCTATGAAAAATGAAATTTCTTCCGATTTGGAAAACAAAAATTCGTCTTTAAAAGTTGAAATTTCTTCAGACATGGAAATTTCTTCTAGGAAAAATAAATTTTCGTCTAATATTTCTTCGCTAGAAGAAAAAAATGTCTTCCGAAATTTCTTCTATGGAGAAAAAGATATCTTTAGTTGAATGTAGATAATGCCCAAGACGGTGAAATAAAATGCTATAAGATAGAGTCAAAGTTGAAATTGGAAGAAACTGTAAACTTTGCGTGAAAGCCCCAATTTTCGACGGGAAGATGTCGTGGACTAATTACAGTTCGAAACAGCTGCGATATCAAGCGAATGGTCTAAAACAGAAAAGGCAGTAAATTTGACCACATACCTTCGAGAAGACGCTTTAGATGTCCTTCAGACTATACCTGTGGAAGATACAAATCACTTTGAACAGCTTAAAAAGATATTAAACATGCGATATGGCCACAAACACTTGGAACAATTAAAGAATCGAAAATAGAAAAATAGCGAAAGCCTTCAAGAATACGAATTAGATATTGCGATTTACCTACCCATCAGCTCCGGAATAAAAGATTGAATTTTTGGCTATTCGTGCATTGGTCGATGTCTTGTCCGCTGCTTTTGAATATGAAACGGCTACGCTGGCTTCTGGGGTATAGAGTGAAGTAAGGACTGTTATCACGGTAAAATGGGAAATGTAAGCAGTTCGCGCAAACGCCCTAAGAACACTATGAATCACAAAACCGTGCCGATAGCTATACAGGAAGGAACAGTGGTATCTGATAGATGTGGAAACCATTAGAGTAACGCAGGTGTAAGGAACTGTAAGGAAAGGAATAACGCCTGTCATAGTAGAACCTTCAAAGCGCAATAAGGGTGTTGATTGGAAAGGGGTTGGCCATATCTGCTAAAGAAGTTACAAAACGAAAATCAACGGTTGTCAACGATGGGTGGGATCAGAATCTCTAGAGTTTGGATACCGACCTGAAGAAGACATAGCTGGTGAAGATTATGTGATCGAACTACGAAGAAAAATGGACGACATGCATGAATTAGTTCGCTCGTATCTTCAAATCGCCACCGACAGTAAGAAGAAACGATACATAAGGCTTCGATCACATTAGAGGCACGCTTGTGCAAGAAATTTGGTGGCGCAAGCGTGCACATAGAAACAAAATCCTCAGGAGAGCGACAAAAACAGTTGGTGCTTGTCCATCGCCGCTCATACTGAACGCAACAAGCAAGTGCACGCTTGTGCAAGCTTGATCCGAAACAAAAATATTTGTTTTTTAATTGCAAGCGTGCATGATCTCAGTCGATTTCTGACTATCGAGGCAGTGATAGTGTAGTGTTGCTCCTATTCACCGAAAAAATTAATTGAATCGCCATTTTTTAATGTTTATAATTAATACGTTAGATTAACTTTTTTGGGAGAGAAAGGCCTAAAACATTTTTAATATTGGCATATTGAATATCATTTTTAAATTCATCAAAAACATATTTTAAAGTAAATAGTTAATAAAAGTCTTACCTCAAAGTAACCAGTTTCTCTTTAGGTGATATACAATTTCGGAAGTTAGATTGCCTCCTTATTATAGGAGTAATTTTGCCTAGTATATAATAAAAAATGTCTGGCATTATTCTAAAGTATTCAAAAAACTTATTAGGCTGTCTAGGCAAATCGTTAAATATTCGTGCATACTCTCCATCTTCCTCTCTGTCTAAAAAATACTCGTTAACCCACTCTTCCCTGATTTCCTCCTCATCCAAAAAAAAAAAACACAAACTTTAAAACACCATTTTCCAAAACAATGTCCTCATCGTTTGACATCTCCATTTTGATTGCCTGTCTATAATTAACTTGCACCTACTTGCATTTAGTGTGAGCACATTGCTGTTCACGTCAGCTTGCGCACGCGCGCGCCACCAAATTACTTGCACGAGCGTGCTCTTTAATGTGATCGAAGCCTAATCCACAGAAGGATGTTTCTTAATGCATTGCATTAGTGATGACGTAAAAATATGCCAGAGAAAGTAGTTTATAGACTAATATAGTTTTTAAACGGTTATTATTTCATTTTAATTCATAAAGTACAGTCTTCAACAATACCCGTATCCCACGTGACCAAATTGATCTCATCAGTTAGATGAAAGTAACGTTAGTTCTCAAAATGAAAACGATTTCGATACTGCGACGAAAAGCCAAAAAATCTCAGATTATTTGACATTGTGGGAGAACGAGAACACATCAAATTTAAATAAAGAATGAGAATAGTACGCCTGCGCGATCTGGTGTTTTGTTTATTGTTTATAATGCCGTAAATTCATTAGAAAGTTCATTTTTAAGTAATTGTTTTTAGCGCTCTGCTTCAATTAACATTTGCATATGATGGTGGGTAAGTCAAATGGCATTATTTGTAAATTGCCGGAAGCATCGTGGCAAATAATAAAATGTCCGTCCCTTCCTCGGACAAAATCAATCAGCACATAAAAAACAAACGTAGAACCAACCATATCTTGACTGAAACTGCATGGCCAGATTTCTTCTAGTTTTGCATTTTTTGAGAAAATAATTTTGTGGTCGTAGAAAAAATATTCTACTTGTGTAAAAATGATTTTTCCCACTCGATGAACAACTATGAACAAGAACTTTTTTTGGTTTTTAAGTTGATACCTACTTATCATAATTTTCTTCTAAACCGTTATCAAAATAATACAAATTAAATAGCAAAAAGATTAAGAATTTGCACAACTGTAGGAGTTATATTATTTAGAATAAATAAACAGTGATAGTCGTATTTTTCCAAGATAAAAAAAATATTTCTTTTATCGGGAATTTAACCTAGTTCGTGAAATCCAAAGTTGAGCTCTTAACCACCTGAGTCATGGCTTATGTCAAGTTAATTATCTAATAAAAAAAATGTCACTTACTCCCCTACTATAAGTTACTAACAAAAAAATAAATCTAGTAATCAGCAGCGATAATTAATTGATTCCCGGATAACTGCGACGCCCCTGTACAAAATTATTTCCTAACGTTTCTAGGCAATACTTTTACCGTTACCAGCATTCAAAAACACCTGTTTGAAGAAGATTCTCTTCTATAATTGCACAATCAGCAATATTATATTCCGATTTCACCTTTCAACTTTAAATTAAATGCACTTAAGGTAAACATACATCTTAAATTTCTTGGCTTTCCATCATTTCTGTTATGTAAAGTTTAACACCAACTTTTCGTTGTAAGATGTGACTATGCGACAGAAGAAAAAATATATACAGGATGTCCTTGCATGAAATATAAAAAAAAAAGATTAACGTTACGTAAATATTCTTTTAGTTGAACTCTGTTTAATTATATTTCTTCTAGATTTTTATTATTAAATTTGTTTACTACTTATGCAAATTTCTAAAGCTTTGTTTAAAAATTAAATTGAATTAAGAAAGGTGGCATACGAACCACTTTTACTAAAAAAATTTCGAGGGCATGCAAAAGGGGGTAATATTTTCTTATAAATTGACAAATTAAGAATGGAAATCGACTTGTTTTAGGGTTTTTTCTCAAAAGTACATTCCCTAACGCTAAAAATGAATTTATTCCACACATATGGACCGCACAGTATTGTTAGATTATATTTAAAATATTTAAATTTGGCGCTCTTATATTCATTCGATCGCTCATGCACGTGCGCCAAATAAGCGGTACGCGATCCAGAAGGAACGGCATCACCGCGGCAGTCACTGCCTGACATTGATCGACAATCGATCTAACAAAAAATTTAACATTACATTGATTAATGTGGTCTACAGGTCTTACAATTGTTTGATGCGACACTGAGAATGTTACGATTTTTTCGACAATTTTTCTTTCATTAAATTGTTTTGCCATTTTGATTACACAATTCTTAATAAACACTCTTATCACTAAAAGATTTTTCATTTTGACAATTTCCAGCACTACTTCGTAAGAAGCCGCAATACTGCATTTGTTATCCGTATTAGATTTTTTGAAAAAATATGTATTATTTTAGCTTTTTTTCATAAACAATATATCTAAACTCATACACTCTTATTTCACTGACAGAACTAACAGTAACAGTAGGCAACGCCCTGTTAGACGCATTTATCCCACTTGCTTGGGTGCCATAGGGCTCCATCCTGGCCCCTCTTTTATACCTCATATACACTCACGAGATTCCACCTCCAAACCACCCATCGTCAAAATGTCTTATTTACGCAGATGATACCGATCTGCTTTCTGTAGCCGAAAAATATGCTGGTGTAGCAGATGGAGGGCCTCACTCAATTCATAAAAAACACAATTCAACATTTTTAAACATCCAAACTCTTAAAGAGCCACCCAACTTTCC